ATAAATGGCTGTCCATGCCTGTTAGGCATTATTAAAATATTATACAGTATTCACAATACCAATTTAGAAATTCCTACTGAACTATAAAACCTGAGGCTAATCAATTACCTCCACGCTACACTTACCCATCTCTGCGCATCCTTCGAGTGAGATCATCACATCGTCTCTTTGTCTCTACAAATATTATTGTCTTATTTTCCTTTTCAGCCATTATTTCCTCCATGAGTTGAATCAACCTGAAAGCAAGACCAACAACAATGCAGTCATCTGGAGATGGCCCTACACATGACACAAAAGCTGGATCTGCAGTATCAACACCCCACAGCGACAGTACTTTTCACATTACTTTCTCTACAGCTGATAATTATCAGAACTGCGGTTAAAATCCAAGGATCCAGAATCTTTGCCTTTAACCACAATGTTCTGATAAATGATATGAAGGATGGATTGTTGGAAAGGTAGCAATGCTTTAAGTGTTCTCAGGCCTCAAAAACAACTTTTTCGAACACTTTAACTTCGGAGGGTTATTAGGAAAGGTTTATGGGCATTATCACAATACTGCAGTCTCCCGTACTTGTGGTCCTTTTCACTTTCCATGCAGACATCCACAATCTGCAGGATGTTGTGGTTGGCGCTCAGCTCCAGGTTGCCTACGTTGATCTGGGTGTAATCCCGAAGGAAGTCCTCTGCGAGCTGTCTCACTTCTTTTGGCCAGGTTGCACTCCACATCAATGTCTGCCTATCAGGCTGTGAAGAAAGGAAAGGCTTTCTTTTAGGATAAGGAACTGCGACAGGCAAAGGGCATAGACAGAGCGCATTACCAGCTTTACACACCCTAATTTGGTCGACAATTTTCCGGATCTGGGGTTCAAATCCCATATCGAGCATTCTGTCAGCCTCATCCAGTACAAGGTAAGTACATCGGCGAAGATTTGTCTTTCCTGACTCCAGGAAATCTATGAGGCGTCCAGGAGTAGCTATACAGATCTCAACACCTGTAAAACAAAATCGAAGATGTAGCAACTAAGAATTCTGTAACACTGCCCAAGCCTCAGCAAACTAAGTAGCGCCAGCTCTGCTGGTTGTACTCAGTGCTGCAAGAACTAGCTAAATTTAACACAATACTTGGAAAAGCATGATGTAAGGAGAATTTATGGATAGTCACCATATCCTCACAAAGTATAAGTCTCTAGCCACGTTGGGTTTTCCCCAAATATTTTAACTATACCAGTGCAATTTTTAAGCTGCTGAAATACTGATCTTTTTTCATAAGAACCCATTATTTTCCTTTTCAACTGCATTCATAGAAATTGACAAAGTGAGATCAAGTAAAAATTCTTATGCGCTAATTTTCTTTAAAAAATTACCTCTCTCCAAGTCTCGAATCTGGGGACCTTTAGGGGCACCTCCATAAATGCAAGTACTCTTCAATCTGGAACATTTGCCGTAGTCATCGGCCACCTGCTGTACTTGCTGGGCAAGCTCTCTGGTAGGAGCCAGAACTAGACACTGAAACAAACACACACTTGAGAGACGTATCCCAAGTTAAAAAAAGAAGTATAAAAAGTTATCTAATTCATTTTGTATTGTCTAATTTAGTACTTTCAAGTATGTAATGAGGTGAGAAGTTGGGAAGGCAGAGATACGAGAGTGCGTTGGAGTGTGGCAAAAAATTATGAGAACTAGTATTTAGCATTCGGGATGATGGTTTACTTTTGACACGATTCATTACCATCTAGGTATACTATTTAAGTGGATTTACAGATTGTATAGCCTAGTTTTAATTAAGCTCTCACAAAATGAACAAGTGGCTTTAAAATATTCCTACAACAAAACTATGGATTAAATATTAGTGAGAAACAGATAAATAAGAAAAAAGAGTAGAGCTCACATTTTTATGAATTCTAGTTTAAGCTCTTAGCCAGGCACATCAGGCAAAAACAATGACGACTTATACACAATCTGATTAGTTGGCCAAAATGTAAAATTAAGATATTTTGACACGGGATGTAGAGTATAGTGTGGGGAGTGGACTAAATGGAATTGTAATAGATATGTATGATGTCGGGGGGAGTGGGGTGGTGGATTGAGGGAGGGGGTTGTCACTTTGTGAGGAGTAAAAAGTATAACTATCGCACTGTTTTGTACACCTGAAACTATTTAAAAAAATTTTTAATTAAAAAAAAATATTGAAATAGGTAACACATACACTGTTAACAATAAATCTTGCTCTGTGTACTGATCCATTAGACATTACCTAATGATAATAAAGCTAACTCAGCCATATGGAATATACTATGTATGATGTAATACAAAGTAATACATCATTTCTTTTTGTGAATATTGAGCTATACTGTAGTAACATATATATTTGTAAATACATCAAGTGAAATTTCAGCTCAATTTAAAAAACATGGTAAAAATATACATTCAAAATGTTTAATAGACCACTACTCAAATCTTATAGGAAGTATCACAAATGAAAATAATCAAATGAGAAAATTATGCTGCCTTATCAACATTTACAAAAGTATTACTTAACCACAAATACACATTCCAGACCTGACTTAAACCCAGAGCAGGAACCTCATTTCATAACTCTTTTGTATCCCTCATAGAATCACTGAGTAATTAAGAACTGTACTTAAATTAATGCCTATACATGAAGGTAGTATGCACAGTGGTTAAGAGTAGGACTGATTCAAATTCAGGCTCAGCTATTTAATAGTTATTGTATACGACCGTAGGCAAGTCATTTAACTGCATTAAAATGTATCAGCAAGATGGAGATAATATCAATTCCAGATATGGGGGAGGATGGGTTGAGAATGAAATCTGAATATGCATGTAAAGTACAGTACCTAAACCACAATCATTAAATTGTAGTTATTCCTGGCCGGCCGAGTGGCTCAGTTGGTTGAGTTGGCTTAAGAGTGCAAGCTCTGAGCAACAGGGACGCTGGTTCAATTCCCACATGGGCCAGTGACGCTGAGCCCAAGCTGAGCTGTCGTTGAGCTGCCAAGCAGGATGGCTCAGCTGGTCTAACAAGGTTGCCTGTTTGATGGTGGGCTATGCCTACCCGTAACTAAGACTGAACTTGGCACCTTGAGCTGAGCGGCTGCCCGGATGGGTCAGTGGACAGAGCGTGCGCTCTTAACAAGGCTGCTGACTCCTGCATGGGATGGTGGCTACGCTCACCCGCAACTAAGATTGAAAATGGCACCTGGAGCTTAGAGACCACAAGCTGACGACGGGAAGCCAGATGGCAACTGGCGCCCTCCACAACGAAGACTGAAGAACAACAACTTGGCTGTGGCTGGTCCCTCTCCCAATCCCCCAACAGTGTTCCCCTCCCCAAATTCCCCAATAAAATCTTAAAAAAAATAATCATTCAACTATAAAAAAAAAAATGCAGTTATTCTTCATATTATAAGCAAACTGAAACACACTTACAATTGGACCATCTCCCCTTTCCAAGTATGGCTGGTGGTTAATATGAACAATTGCAGGCAGTAAATACTAAGAGGAAAAAAGAATGACAGTCTTATAAGAAAATTAAGCTGTTATCTTAACAGTTCTAAATTATCACAATTGATAATGCCTAAGTAGGAAAGTGAAAACAGTATTCACAACTGTTCCACACATTTGCAATGTAAATTTAAAAACGAAATGCTTCTATTTAGCAAGAAAAGCTAGGGCCGTCCAAGTGGCTCAGTTGGATAGGAGCGCGAGCTCTGAGCAACAGGGTCGCTGGTTCAATTCCCACACGGGCCAGTGAGCTGCGCCCAAGCTGAGCTGCCAACAGGTGGCAGGATGGCTCAGCTGGTGAGAACACGTGCTCCTAACAAGGTTGCTGGTTCGACTCTTACATGGGATGGTGGGTTATGTCCACCTGCAACTAAGATAGAACACAGTACCTTGAGCTGAGTGGCCGCGAGCTGCCAACGGGCGGCCGGATGGCAACTGGACTTGGAGCTGAGCTAGCTGCGCCCTCCACAACTAAGACTGAAGAACAACTTGGCTATTCCCCTTCCCCAATAAAATCATTAAAAAAAACCAAAAAGCTAAAATATTACCTACACTATCGGAATTGAAGTTTTATAAAGAATTAAAGAATCAAGAATGTATGGGATAATTAGAATAGCAAAATGAGTACGTACTGCCAAGGTCTTCCCAGAGCCAGTCTGAGCAATGCCCACCATATCGCGGCCACTAAGAGCCAATGGGAATCCCTGGCACTGAATCGGAGTTGGTTCTGTGAAGTGCTGATCCATCAACACATCCATCACGTATTCTGTAAGACGACAGATGTGACTCCTTTTAAGTACAACTAAGAACACAGTCGAAGAATTTTAACAGAAACTACTACCTTTGTGAAAGGTATTCTACTTGGGTTTTCAACAAAATCCTCAGTATGGGTCAAAACCTTCAAAAGCTCTACTACCCATGTTTACCACTTAATCCAAATGAACAACTAAGATTCTGTTTTGATGAACACTTACGTGGAAAGTTAGCATGATGGAAGGCAAACACAGGTTTAGGACAAACGTCTCCCCCTCTCACGGTAATCTCCTTCTTACGGCGTAGTTCATCAACCTCATACTATGGAAGAAAAGGATGTAAGACAAATTAGTAAACAAGTTATTCTCAACATGCAAAACTTTATGTTCCAATCCAGCTAAACAATTACCATCCAATACAATTTAAAATGAAAAATATGTGTGAGGGATCTCCCCAACTTTGTGAGTAAATGAAGCAGGTGATAAGAGGTCCATTTTCCACAGGAGGAAACAGATAACTGTACTCAGAAATGTCAAGTAACTTGTCTGAGGTCAGAAATAGGAGAGAGAAACTGTGGAATTTGGGGCCAAATGCTCTTTCCATTATACTTTCTTCTGAACAAGTAACCATGAGTAGGCCAAAAACAACATAACGAGGCCAAAAAGGCAAATAGGAGCACATAATACCAATATATAAATTTAACTTCACAGATGAAAAGACATGACCTCATATACTGTTTAAAATCACATATGACAGGGCCGGCCGAGTGGCGCGTTGGTTAGGAGTTGGCTTGGGACGCCAGCTCTGAGCAGCAGGGCCCCGGTTCAGATCCCACATGAGGGCCAGTGACGCTTCGCCCTCTATAGCTAAGATGGTGAACAACAGCTCGACCTGGAGCTGGGCTGCCCTGAGTCGCCACTGACAGTGTAGGCTGCAGTGGGGCTGGTCGGCAGCGGGTGGGAGCTTTCATGAGCTGCCAAGAGCCTCCGTGAGCGGCCATCCAATGGCTGGCGGGTGACTGCCTCACCCAGGAGGAGTGCAATGATAAACCAACATGGGCCAGTGAAGCGATGTCCTCAACTGGACTGAAGAACAAAAGGACAGCAACTTGTCTGTTCCCCTCCCCCAATTCCCCAATAAAATCTAAAAAAAAAAGACAAAAAACCTCGCATGACAAATTGGTTGGAAGCATAATCAACAAATGAGAACCGAGCAATAAATACATTAGGTACATATTTAAACTGGTTCCTCTTATGGGTACTCAGTATTAAGAATCTAAGGAAAAGTACCACTGCACTATAAAACATGTAATAACAAACAGCAGTATATGTGTAAATTCTGTCTAATGTCTACCTGGTTCATTACTGTGTATGAAAAAAAGGTAAATAAATACCCCACCCCCACCCCCCAAAACTTACTGGAGTCAGCCTTGCCACTTCTGGATGTTCCACATAAAAATTCTTCTCAAACTTGGGGAGCTCACTCAAATCCCACTTCTTTTTACGTAAACGCTCCCCAGGATTACCAAATTTCTTTGGGGGAAGGCCACCACCACCTCTTGCTCCAAATCTAGAAACACAAAAAATTTTCATTTATTAGTATTTTTCAACAATATACCTCAAGCTCCATAAAAACATGTAAAAAGATGGGGCTCTTAGGATACTACCAACCCCCTCCAAAGACAGTATTTTATTACTCTTATATGAAGGTATGGAGAAGTTCGTACAACTTACTTTATTATCCAACAATATCATTATGGGTATGATTACAAAAAGTGGAAAATTAAAAATTCTTATATTTAGAGAAATACATCATGGGAATTATAACCAGATTCTGGAATCTGAAGGTTTGAATTTTCACTCTGCCACTTAACAGTATGATTTTGAGCAAATTATTTCACTTCTGTCCCTCAATTTTCTTACGTAGAGATACTACCACCTATTTCAGAAGTTGCTGTCAAGATAAAATGAGTATGTGTAAGATGTTTATAAAAGTACTTGGTATAGTAAACACTCGGTACAAGTTAGTATTCAACAAACAGTTATTGGGTATCAACTGTGTATGTACTAGGTACTGTTTTAAGTGGTCAAGATACTAAAGTGAATAAAACAGAAGCCTCTACTCTTGTTTAATATTCAGACAAGTAGGTAAGAAAGGACATTTAGTTTAAGCTAAAATTAGGGTTAAGTCTGCAACGGGTAGAAAAATATACTTCAAGTGTGTCCCCCATACTTGGAATAGCTTCTTAGGCCCCCCCTTCCCCTTCCTCCTTTATACTGTACGTGGCACACCTTTTGTCTGTTAATCTGCTAAGGAAAACTACTAGGACCTCCCCAAAAGACCTAATAGGCTAGTCTTCACTTTTAGTTTATGCTAAATGCCAGATCAAAGATGTATGACCTTTCCTTCCTCTTCATTGCCACCTTTACATCTCCTTTTTGTTCTCAGGGAAATGGTACTAGTAATTTAGCTATAAATTTACCGAAGAAATCAATAACAAGTCTTATTTAAGGTTTTAAAAACTCAAACAGATTTAAAACCAATCTTTTTTGCTTTACCTTTCACAACAGACAAGTTCAACTGGAATACAAATATGGTTGCTAGCCAAACTTGAAATGTTCTACTTTTCCTAAAAGAATCCTAACACTAAGATGGTCTTCATTTCTGTATTTCAACCTAGTAAAGTACAGGGCGCTGTTTGGTATACACATAGTATACAGCCTGTTCTCATGCCATTTCCTTACTCCTGAAAACACTATACTGAATGTAGTCTCCCCTTTCCACTCTCACTCATAACACTGTCTTGCACATGGTTTCACTTTATAATTAACAGACAGTAGTTGTACTACTTTAAAGAGCCTCAATTTCCTGGAATTCAAACCGTTCTTAAAGCTGGCTTAAAGACCCAGCTAGACATTTCTCTAAATACAAACATGCAAAGATTGATGGAAGGAAGCTTTCTTGGGACTACGGAGTATCTATATTCAATAGGCAGAACTGGGTCAATTCTGACTGCATTTATGCTACTGCTGAAGTGGTAACTGAAGTCAGGAAACAGAACATGAAAAGCATATTGCACAGGGATACATTACCAAAGATAAACTATCAATGACATCTGCAATATGCTCTCATATTGACCACCTGGACTGACCCCTCCCCCCTCACTTGGAAATGAAGCAACCAACATAATTTTAAATAACAGAAAAGCCAAGTCTCTAGATAGTCCTGCAAAGAAAATAAAAATCACCAAAGACCAATTTCTAGATTGTCTAGTTTATATCAATTTATGTGGTTCCTAGAAGGTGCCATTTCATCACTGCTACTGCATTCTAATGCTACCTAGACCTTAATAATGATCTAGAAGAAAATAAATTTAAGGCTTATTCAAAGTAGCCCTTAATTTAAAAAAATTTTTTTTTCCTTTCTCTATGTTGCTTTGGCTGATTATACAAGACACACTATCCTACACTAAAGGTTAATTTGAAACATGGGGTTCTTTATAAATATGCTGACTTCAATATTAAAGAGCCTTTTACGCTCAAAATTTTTGAGCACATTCGTTCCATCCTTTAAAGATGCACGTATCCTAATCCCTAGCATATTATGCTGCTCATCAAAATATTTTTATTGAGTATTAAGTTTAATTTGGCTTTGCAATAAATGTAGCTTTGATGATTCATATTAACATGCACAATGACACTGGTTTAAATGAACAACACAAATTTTTGGACTATTGGTACATACACTAGTCTCACTCCCTTTTCAAAATATTAATCCATTTCAGCTCTGTAACATTCAGTTAAAGACAAAACAATAGCAATTCAAAACAAAATAAATTTCATAGTAAAGGTAGAGTAAGGGCATGGACCTTATGCAGTGTCATTTTGTTTGAAATTAATAATTTTTAAAGATTTTTAAAAAGTGTCATCTGATACGCCTGTGGTAAAGAAATAAAACATTACTAGTATCTTAGTAGCCTCTACGTGCCTCTTTCAAGTTTGTAACCCCCACTATAACTACCTCGAATTTTAAATATTCCCATGCTTTAGTCTTGTCATATTTGTAGGTATCCTTACATGCATTATTACCCTACCACAATTTGCTTTTTCATTCAATATTGAGTCATCCATGTTGATGCTTTTTTTTTTTTACTGCTGTCCTGTATTCTACTGTATGACTATCCATAATTTATTCAGACATTTGAGCTGTTTCCAATATTGTCCTGAGTGATGATGGTATAAACATCTCTGCACATGAATACTGGGGCACGAGTCCAAGAGTTTCTCTAGACCTTAGAGTCTAGGGTATTCAGCTTAAGAGAAGCTCTTTTTTACTTTACTAGGTAACGTTAAGTTCTTTTCCCTAAGCGGCTGTACTGAAATTCACTTCTCAATTTGGCCATACTGTGAAACACTAAGCTAACATTCCACTTTTAGTCCTCCAAACTTAACACTAAGATAAAATATTTTCCTTCCTAACAAGGTATAAATCAAAATGTTTTTTATTTTGTATATTAAGTGATAATTGAGGTGGTTGTGATTAGTAGATCTGATATTTGTATACCTGAACAACAAAAGACAAAAAAATGTTTGGAGAAATTAACAGAGCACCTACTACAGAGACAATTACATGCATTCTCAATTCCTGAGAACAATGCAAAGTACATACAGGCAATTATTATCCCCATCTTCAGAAGAGAAAATAGGCTCACAACGGTTTAGGATCTTGCCCAAGGTCACACACATAGTAAGAAGGGGGGTCACATTACTTTTTATCCAAGAGATACAACTTTTATTACAAAAAAAGTTAACAGCACAAATCAACATGGATCTATATCTTAAGCAACTTTTGCATTTAACCGACATTAAGATTTGAATCTTAGCATCTGGGAGGATTTCAGTTAATGCTGTCAATTGCCAGCCCTGTAGGCGTGGCATTACTACATGAAAAACTTTCTAGCTAGGCCGAGAAGTTAATGTCCCAGTCCAATTATACAAAAAAAAGGCCATACTTAGAAAACCAACCCCCCCCCCGCAACCCTCCCTTCCCAAACAGCCATTTAGATGGTAATTCCATTGCTTTATATTCCAAAGTGCGTCCTTCGAATTATTTAAGCACGACTAAAGGAATTTAAAAACGTGTTTAAAACTAGAAGCCAGACTTTTAGTCTCTAATTTCAAACCTGAAACTAGAGACTTACAGTTATCTCTGGCTATAGATAACACAAGGGAAGCCATTTCGCGTTAAGATTTTCCTAGACTGAACTCAGAGACCTCATCCTCTTCTCAACAAAAACAATCGTGTTTCACAGATAAACGCTGCAGCCTGAAGAGCTCAAACGAGTTGCCCAAATTCGTCGGGTTCGAAAGCCGGGAAGCAAGAGGCCCAGACAGGGTCTGCGACGGCCAGGCCATCCCCCTCCCGCTCCCTGCGGGGCTGGGGCCGTGCCGCGCGCTACGACGGCCGTCCGCAAGGAGGAGTTGGGGCGTCGCCAAGCTACCACCCCCCTGCCAGGTCATCAGTGACTTCGGGGCCCAGGCCCACCCAAAGGCCTGTGCTCTAAGTCGCTATTATGTCCTGAGTCGCCTCGCCTCCCCGAGTCGGGAGCGCTGTTCGCAGGCCTGCATTCCGCTCAAAGTCTCCCGCTCTCCCGCTACACCGCAGGCTGCGGTCTCCGCTTGAAGCAACCCCCGCCCCCCGCCATGCACACACAAGGCCTTTCCTCCTCCCCTCTTACCCTCCACGGTCACGATCCCGGTCCCGGTCCCCAAAGCCGCCTCCGCGCATGGTCCCAAATGGATAGAGATCTGGGAGCGGGGCACGGATGGCCGGGCTCGGGAGGGCCTGCGGCTCCGGTCTGGTGACGACCGATGGCGGCGGCGCCTCCGCTGTTGGGGCGGCGGCAGGCGCGGCGCTCTCTCGCTCCGACGCGCTGTCTCCCGTCGCAGACGCCACCGTCGCCGCCTCTCTCGTCGGAGACGGGAGCAAAACACAGAGAATCGGGGTTATAAAATTAGTGGGCAGGTTTGGCTACGCTCAAACCCGGCAGTGCCGCGGTTTAGGCGTCTCCTTCCTTCCCAGCGACTGCACAAAATGGCGGCCGAAGCTGAGACTGCTCCAGCTTAACGCTACGTACGTCGGAGACCATACGTAAACAGCGTGTCGGGATCGCCCGAGGGCTTTGCGGAGAACTACGAGTATTCTTGGAAGCATTTTACGTCAGTTGCGGAGATGGACGCATTTTGCGGTTGATAGAAGAAAAACAAAATACGGATCGGGCGTAGTTCTCGCGCCACCTAAACTAGAACGTGGGGTGGGGGTGTAGGGGGGAGAGCCTCCGGCGCGACGTAACATTCTTTGCGTCGTTAGCCGACCCTCTGTTGCGAAGATGCGCAGTGTGCGTAACGTATTCTGTTTGGAGAATAGAGGATTTTGCCGGGTTCGACCGCGGGACGGATCCCGGTCCTCTTGTCCAAGTCGCTTTGCAGAGACAATAACTGTCCTTCATATTTGCAGTCGTCAAGTTTCAGGGTCTCCAGGTGCCAAGAGCCCAGGAGGGTCTTTAAGGTCCCTGACTGGCGCTCTGGCCTCGCCGCCCTGGGCCTGCCTAGACTGGCCGCGCGCCCCGCCGCCATTTCTTTTCTGTGGCCTCTCGCTGTGCTGGCGCCGGCAGCCATGATAGATGTGCCTTGTCCGTTCTTTCGGGAGTTGGTCAGGTGGCGGGCGACGTCTCAGCTGGGTTAAAGCGCTCTGCTACACTTGGTTCACACTGAAGTGCATGTTCTCAACAGAATATTTACACTGTCCCCGGCTGAGCACAGCTGGCTAACAAAGAGCCACAACTGTGTGTGGAGCCCTCAAAGTAGATGCTGAGCTCCCTTGAGCAAGAGCGGCGCTGCCTCACGAGGCCCATGGCAGTCCCTTAGCACACTCTCGAGAGGAAAGGTTTAAAAGCGGTGGTCTTCAGACACAGAAAAGATGGAGGCATAAGTCATGTTTGTAGCCATCCTAGGCCCTGTTCTTAGTTCCTTCTAATCTGGCGTCCCTCTCCCTGTCTGCTCCCTTCTCCCTCAAACTACACTTTAAAGTCTCTCAAGCTTGGCCTGATAGCATGACAGAATTGTTGAGCGGAGCTGTTAGGACCTCAGAAGAACAGCTCGTTTACTATCTCTCATTTATTTCTATAGATGGGTCTAAGTGGGAAGGTTTGCGGTCCCTTATTGTAGGAGCTGACTGGTGTCTCCTACTCTGTGTTCTGAGTGTTTCCCAAATTATTATAAAAGCAGCATAAGGAAAGGATCTTCGTGACAAACTGTTCAGGTTTCTCTTGGGCCATAGAGGCCGATGAGTAATCAGATTAACTGAACAAGTGTTGAATGCCTAATGGGCCCAAGCACTGCGCTAGGAACTGGGGCATGGCAGTGAACAAATGAGTTACTACACTCCTGGAGTTCACACTCGAGTGGGGAAGATAGACAATAAATGTTTATGTCAGGGTAGCTAACTAAAATATAAAGAAAGAAACATAAAGCAGGGAAAAGGGATAGAGTATGAGTGCCTGTGGGAGAGGAGAGTATGCCTGTGACATGGTGTTACCTAAGGTGTCCTGCCTGAGAAGGCCTCCCTGATCAAGTGACATCTGAGCAGAGACCGAAAGTGAGGGAGCTAGCCTTGCTGATATAGAGAAATGAGCAAGTGCAAAGGCCTTGAGGCAGAATGTGGCTTGAGTAGAGCAAGGAGGAAGGGCAGGAGAGGGCCAGATTTTGAAGGGCTTGTTGGCTACTGTAAGGACTTGGTTCTTTCCTTTCAGTAAATTGGAAATCTCTAGAAGGTTTTAAGGAGGGTGACATAATAAATGGACCCCTATGGCTGCAGTGTGGGGAATAAATTGAGAGTGAGCTAGGGCAAAAGCAGGCAGATTAATTAGGCTAGTGCAGTAATCCAGCAAGAGATGATGGGGCTTGGCCCGGGTTAATAGCAACCAGTAAGGAAGAAATGGCCTGACTGAAAATCGAGTTATGACTTAATGAAGGGTGGAGTACGAAAGAAAGAAGAGTCGAGGATGGTTCCTGTAGGAGTTGGCCAACAATGAAGCTCCTACTGGGACTTAGACTTTATAGCACTGAGGGAGTTATTTGGACTGGTTTCTATGATATATGCTAAGTAATTAAATCTGAGGCTCTGTGTATAATAATAAATAACATATAAAGTAAGGTAGCTCCATTGAAAGCCCCTCTACATTTTGCTAGGGAAAATAATTCATATTTTGCTACTAGATCAGTACTTAAGATGCTGTTTCACAGCATCTCATAACTCCTTTTTTATTATTATTATTGGGGAACAGTGTTTTTTTAGCACCCATAAGCTCCAAGTCAAGTAGTTGTTGCAATCTAGTTGTGGAGGGCGCATCTCAGTGGCCCATGTGGGGATCGAACCGGCAACCTTGGTGTTATGAGCACTGTGCTCTAACCAACTGAGCTAACTGGCCACCCCACTCCTTTATCTTCATAAGGCTTTTCATAGTATATAACTATATATTTCTGTCATTTTTTTGCCCTCGTAAAAAATGGTCAATTTTTAGTCTTCCGTTGGAAGACAAATTTCTGATTATAAAGTAAATCCATACTATACGTTTCTCATTCTTTGCTATATCTTTGTGATTTCCTACCAAAGATGGTTGAAGCTTATTACATTTTTCTAAACACAGAGGAAGATTTTCATTAAGTAGGGCAGTCAGAGAACCTAGGCATTTCATTAGTAACAGCTAAGACTTGGTAAAAAATGAAAATATGATTTGCTTAATTCATCCTTTCTTTGAAAACCTAACCATATCTTACCATACCAGATGATTCAGTAATCACGCTCTTTGATATTTACCAAAAAATTTGAAAACATGTCCACAGAAAAACCTGCACAACGATGTATTTTATAGCAGCTTTACTCATAATTGCCAAAACTTGGAAGCAACCAAGATGTCCTTCAGTGGGTGAACGAATAAATTGTGGTACATCAGACAATGAAATATTATTTAGTGTTAAAAAGAAATGAGCTATCAAGCCATGAAAAGACATGGAAGAAATTTAAAGGCATAGTGCTAAGTGAAAGAAGCCAATCTGAAAAGGCTACATATTGTAAAATTCCAACTATATGACATTCTGGAAAAGGCAAAACTATGGAGATGGTATAAAGATCAATGGTTGCCAGGGGATGACGGGAGGAAAGGATGAACGGGTGGAGCAGAGAGGATTTTTAGGGCTTAAGCGTTGTCAGAAAAGTCACGATGTATTTTGTCTGTGTTTTTCAAAGGTCATTTATTTATATAAAGAACAAAGATCAATCAATGATATATTGCCCGTTTTGTTCAATAACCTTTTGCTATCTTTCAGTGAGCTTCATAATTCGTCGTTCATAGAAGGACCTGTCTTTATTTGTGAAAAGCTGAACAAGGTGTTAATTTACAGCCTCATCTGAATTGAATGTTATACCACGCAAGGAGTTTTTTTTGTTTTTTTAAAATTAATTTATTTTTTATTATGAAATACACATTTTTTAGAATTAGTTTCAGCTGTACAACACAGTGCAATAGTTATACTTTTAGCCCCTCG